TCTCTTTCATACTTTTATAAAGAACATTATGAACGTAAAAATAGAAAGATGTCCACTCATAATATGTATTCCATTAGCATTAAAGGACTTAAAAAGATATGGGTACCAAAGGAACAAAAGTCATATTGTGATGCAGATGATGATATCGACACTTGCTCTTCAAGTGAAGAAATAAATATATTTTATTGTTCCTTTCCTACGAAGGAAGAAATTCATTTGTATAATAGAAAAAAGACAAAATCATTGGATATTTGAGTCATGGTAGAAGTAGAATTATTACTTTTTAAATTATCTCTTATAGAACATCATTGGAAGATGACAATAAAGGGAAAGAAAAATATCAAAGATAATAGGAAGTCCAAAGTCTAAATAGAGAAATTCAAGTTAAATATTTCATACATTGAACTCCCATAGGTCCATCATCACCTTACCATATCATAATTCACAGGTATTCCACTAGAAAATGTCCTTCTCAAATAACTTTTTCCTTCGCTAGAAGAACACCGACTAGACTTTTCAATATGGGATCCTCCACGTCGTGTACAATGGATTAACAAACCAATAAATTTAAATATTTCATATATCGGACTCCCAGAGGTCCATCGTCACCTTACCATATCATAATTCATTGGTCGTCCACTATAGAAGGTCCTTCTCAGATAACTATTTCATTCACTAGAAGAATATCGACTAGAATTTTTAATATAGAACCGTACACATCGTGTACAATGGACTTAAAACTAACAAATTCAAAAAAAAATCATAAATTGGACTCCCAGAGACCCACCATCACCTTCATAGATCACAGTTCATAGATCTTCGACTATAAATGGTATTTCTCAACTGACTATTTCCTTCACCGGAACAACACCGACTAGAATTCTCAATATCGAACTGCCCATATCGTGTAAAATAGAAAGAAATAAAGATATTCAAATATTTCATCAATCAAAATTTCGGAGGTCCACCACCACCTTCCCAGATCACAATTCACAAATCTTCCATTAGAAAGGGTCCTTTTAAACAGACTATTTCCTTTACTAGAAGAATACCAACTAGAACTTTTAATATTGGATCCTCCATATCATGTAAAATTGAGTAAAAATAAAACAAATACAAGTTTTTCATCAATCAGACTCCTAAAGTTCCACCACAACCTTCCTAGATCATAATTCACAACTCTTCCACGAGAAAGACTCCTTCAAACTGACTCTTTCCTTGACTAGAAGAATGCTAACTAAAATTTTCAATATCTAATAGTCTGCATCGTGTAAAATGGATTAAAAATTAAACAAATTAGACTTTTTATCAATCGGACTCCCGGAGGTCCACCATCATCTTCTCATATCACAGTTTTCTAGTCTTCCACTAGAAAAGGTCATTATCGAGTGACTATTTCCTTCACTAGAAGAATACCGACTAGAATTTTCAATATTGGATTTTCCACCTCAAATAAAATGGATTAACACACAAAAAAAAACATAAAAACTCATCAATCGGACTCCAAGAGGTCCACCATCAACTTTCGAGATCACAATTCACAAGTCTTCCATTAGAAAAGACTCATTCTCAACTGAATTTTTCCTTCACTAGAAGAATACCCACTAGAATTTTTAATATTTCGATGTCCACATCGTGTAAAATGGACTAACAATAAAAAATAATTGAAAATTTTTATCAATCAGACTTCCGAAGGTCCAACATCACCTTTCCAAATCACAATTCACGGGTCTTCCACTCAAAAGCTATCATAATGCATGAATCTGCTTCAAAAGACGAAATTGAGGTTTTATCATTGCTTGAAAGTTCTTTTGGATAATCTTTCCTTTTCCAAATGTTTTGTTCCCTGCAAGAATTGCTCAACCATTATCATGTAATGCCCAGCTAAGATCTCACTGGAACTTGCACTTCCCTCATTAACCTGCTGAGGATGCAAAAATTGGCATTCATCAAATAACAATTTAAGCATAGGTAATCTTAATATTTATAGAAAATCAAGATGTGAAAGATGTATATCAAGAAACTATTGTTGGTACTCATAGTCACTACAAGTGACATTTGTTTCCATAATGATGCATACAATCTAACTTTTCTGATTAAATTTTATAATTCCTTTGATAGTTAGCTCATGCCATTCTTGAATACTGCACTTGATTTTTTTCAAGTTCACTCACCTATAGATTATTTTTCATACCTACTTATGCATGTGCAATCTAAAACAATTAGGCCCTAACCAGCAAAACTTACAAATTATTTGTGTTGAAAACAGATGCATGCGTTTTAACAAACAGACGGTAGGCAAAAGTGTTGTGAATGAGGTTTTGAGTCTGTGTCTATTATTCAACAAATAATTTTCCAATCATAGTCTCAAATTGATTCCTAGCACCAGTAGTTGCTAATAAGAACATATTTTGAAGGCATAATTAGTCCTAGGATCCCATAAGTTAATTTTAAGTTCCATTTTAGTCCCTTAATAAAATATCGTTACAGTTTGGTCCCGTGATATTAGTTTTGTTAGAATGTTAGTTTAGTTGAGAAAACGTTAGTTTTTGCCAGCGTGGCATGTCAACTATGTAATCACTCAGCAAAATGATTAAATTGAAACTTTATAATTATTTAAGGGACCGAATCAGAAAAGTTAATCGAACTACAATTACATTGCATTTGTAACAATTTCATAGCATTTTAGTTTAATAAAACATTTGATATCAACATAATCTTAAATCTAATTACATTAAACTCATAACCTCTTTCATATAAATTTCTCCCTAACTGCAAAATTTCTTATAAATTTCTTGTAAATTTCTTCAACCCCTTTTTACAAAACTTCTTCAACTCGTTTCAACTACAAATATAGTGACCCCTTTCAACTACAAGTATGATGATGTTTCTTCAACCTACTCCTTAGCAAATCAATTCTGAAATCTTTGGAGTTAAACCTACTACTTGACAAAACAATTCTGAAATCTTTGGAATTAAACCTACTACTTGGCAAAACAATTCTGAAATCAATTTTAAAATCTTCACAAGCTTTATGGAACCTTATCTGCTCCATTACATGTGCAGATCCATCCAAAAACAAGAATTGGAATGAACATACAAATGTGCATAAGATAAACTTCAGAATTTCAATTAAAATAGTACATTTTACAAACAATACCATTGATAAGTTACAAGAATGTGTCACCGTAGTACCTGAGGTTAGAATTCATATCTAAGAACTCATGAAAAACTCTTATTTAACACTAGTTATTCTCATCATTAACTATTCTCAATAAAGGTTATATGGCCACATACATAGTTGTTGCTGCAAATCTGGATTCAAGAAATGAATCCAAGTTGAACCGCAATAAAATTGTCAATATAAAAATCAAACACTGCTAATATTATATTTCGCATGAAAACAAAACAAAACAACGTATTCAACAAAACAACTGTAAAAAAATTCAACAAATTAAAACAAACAAAACAATATATTCATATTTCCTTGAAAAATTCAACAAAACAAAACAAATAAGTTACAAAATAATTTAATTATATATTTAATTTGAATTACTAATGATAGAGAAATTACGACAATTCAGATAGTGAATTTTCCCAATGAGATTTGCAAACAGTTTTCACTTCACTAAGAGGAAGACCTACCGAGCGCGTGAGGTTCAGTGTTGGAGTTATCATCGCAGTCACCATATATGCATTTAAATAGATCTGAAAGAAATGGAATTGATGCTACCTGAAGCCACCACTTATGCATCTAAAAAAATTTAAAAAGAATGAAATTGATGCTACATAAAAAAGGAATTATAAATTCAAAGGCATCAAATTGAAGACTATTTTGCAGATTATTCTAATGGTTGGTATTTATTTTTTGTTGGTCTATCCGGTTAAACACTCTCATGATTCTGAGAAAGAGAAAGGGAGGAAAGAAAGAGAAGAATGATATAAGAATATAATAGTAAAAAAAAAACATACATAAAAATAAATCCAACTAGATTGTCAATAGTATTTAAATGACTAATATAAAACTTTTTTTTAATTAAAAAATTAAAGTGAAACAATAAATTAAATTAAGAGAGACAAAAAGATGAAGTAAACCTATTTTAAATTGTCAGTAGTATTGTTTTAAACACTATTATACAAGAATGATTCAAGAACAGTAACAACATTGACAAGTTTAGCAGGATCCAACCCAACTTGAAAGAGACAAATCAAAACAGAATTTTTCTAAGATTTGCATTTCTCTAGGTGTTGGATTCTGGTGACTGATTCAAAAAAAACCCAATTGAGATACAACTTTGCTATCACTCTCTTCTTCAATGCTCTGTTCAAAAATATCTTCAAGGAAAGGTGGTGGCTTGTAGAGGTGAAGGTGTTGTGCCCAAAGCCAAAGTCTTTGAGATCCTCAAATGGTGGCGTTGGAAGAAGAATCCATAAATTTGGCAGATTCACCACATCATAATAGACTTAGAAAAGTTTGTAAATTTCACAATCTAACGTGTTTTTTTTGCAATCAAACAAACTATTGATTTTAAGTGATGTGGCATATATTATGGCGTGTCACGTCAATTTTATCGTAACTAGTAGATGTAACCCTCTTTCACTTTAGTCTAAAAACCCAATTTATACAATCTTCATGTTAATATTGAGAACGATATTATATTAACAGACTTCTGCATTAATTTATCAGATGCAGAAAGACAGATGAAATATCATATACTATTGGCAGCAGATCTGAAAAATGAGTTTTTACTATCATCAATAAATAACAACCTTTGAAGTACTAACACGAAGAAAAAAAAACAATCACCAAACACGACGTAAACAATAGTTATAATTTAAAAAACATTTGAGATTATATAACAACATATCTTGATGATGCGTTAGTATTGACACCAACACATGTTAGACATCAGATACATCTTTAATCCGAAAAGGAAGCGGTGAATAGTTGAAGGGTCTGCTTTTATCGTGGAATTCTTCGTCTCAATGTTTCATGTTGCTCATACTTCACCGTCCCAGAGTTCTTCAACAGTCTTATAGGCACCATAGGTCTCGTTAACAAAAAAGGTACCCTTAATTAGCTTATCCTGCAGGTATAAGTTCCTTGTGTTAGTTCAGATATTGATGTTGCATTTTGCCGCAATATCAAGGTTTGTTTTGCAACCTCTACGACAACCGCAACTCAAAACCATCTCAACCATTGATAAATAAAACAATAAAAGCTAGATTAAACTAACTACTAACAACTTGCCTGCTTAATTTCAGAGAACTTGGATATGAGGTCGTCGGGAATAGACCAATCGATCACATCCAAATTTTCCTTGATTCTAGCCTCATTAGTGCTCTTAGGTAGCACAGTGTGTCCCACTTGTAGTCCCCATCGAAGGGCAACTTGTCCTGGTGTCTTCCCTAATTTCTCTGCAACTTCTTTGACAACTGGATTCTGCAGAATGTCACTTTTGAGTACTCCTGGTGAGCCTAGAGGAGAATAACCCTGAAAAGAACAATAATGGTTTTATGAGGTACCATCATTTGAATTTGAATTTGAAAACATTTTCAACTAGCTATTATAGCTAAGTTTCATCCTTAATACTCACAAGATTCAAGACAAATTTCAAGAACATAAACATGTATTTGAATGAATATAAACTCTTTTAAGTGAATTACATATGTGATGAACTTACAGATACATGAATTCCTTTTGAGGCGCAAAAGGCATGCAACTTTGACTGCTGCCATCCAGGGTGTAATTCCACTTGATTAGCAGCAGGAGGCACTCTTGCTATGTCCAATAGAGCTTGAAGTTTCTTTGTAGAGAAGTTGCTGACTCCAATAGCTTTAGCCTTGCCTGAGTCATACAGCGCCTCCATTGCTTTCCACGTGCTTGGTATGTCAGGATGGTCGAGATTTTCAGGCTTAAATTCACCTGTTCCCCTTTTCATGCTCACTGGCCAGTGGATCTACGAAACAAAATCAAATTCAGAAAATAATAAAATGCACCCGTCATAATTCATTTTTGGCACGTCAATACACGTAATAATTAGAGAAAATGAATTAATTGAATGTAACCACATGTATAGATGTATCAGGGTCAGACACTAGACATGTCTTCTATCAAAAGCGTTGGAGCTACTTAGCTATTGAGCCTTTGTGAAAGAGTGTCAGGTGTCCGACACATTTTAGTATTTGACACCGACATATATCAATTACATTCAATCACTTCTATTTCTTCAAGTCATTACTCGTGTCTATATATCAATGTTGGTATCGTGTATGTGCTTCATAATCAACGCCACATTGGATACAAAAAAGTGTTCAAAACCTTCAAATCCCCAATATCAGATGGTGTCAATTTAATGTGATTAGTATTCATCAAATTATCAACATATGAAGAAAAGTTAATGCTTACCAGATAGAGGTCAAGGTAATCAAGTTGCAAATCTTTTAAAGTTTTTTCCAATGCTTTTGGAACATCTTCTGGATGATGATCTGAACACCTGAAAACAGTAGACAAAGCAGATGATTCATGTTAATAAACACAACCTAAAAAACAGAAATTTTTCACAAATACAAATTATAAACCGTACCATAGTTTTGAAGTGATCCATAACTCCTCACGCTTAACAACACCATCCTCAAAGAGCTTTTTCAGTGCAGCACCAATCTATAAAAGGTTCACATTTTAATACTATGATAGAGTAAAAGCATGCGGGTTAAATAAAAACAATTAAAAATTCGTCAAAAAAAAAACTCTATGATGGTCCAAAAACTGTTACCTCAGCTTGATTCTTATAAGCTTCAGCACAATCAATATGCCTATATCCAACCTGAACAAAATCAAACACATCTACAAGGTTAGTTCAATGCTATAAACCCTATGATGGAACCAAAAGCTATAATACACTATAAGTGGATAATAGAACCAAAAGATACAAATAATACATATAGCCATAGTTTTAAATTGCAGTCCGCAACTACGATTGCCACCGCAATATTGTTGATGTTGTAGCCTCCGCAATTGGGGTAAGTAAGAATTAAAAATATACATCCGGCCATCATTAGAATTACACAATTTCGGCTATGTTTCTTCAAGAACTTTTATCAAAACTCAATTTACTTGAAAAATCTTAACATTAGCAGTTTTTTAACTGTATATTTCAAACACCTCCCACTTGAAATTCGCAACCTCTATAGCACAGACACCTCTAAAAAAGGTGTGTAGGTGTGTCTGTGTCGGTGTGTCAGTGCCTGCAACGGCCACATTCCAGAATGACCGCAACTACAGCACCCGCACCGGCAGCTACATCCTCTACCGCAATCACAATTGCTCCTAGCTTCTAAGTTAATATCAATCTTAGATGCAGAATCAATAATCAATTCTAAGTTAAAATATAAAAACACATATAAATCAATTTTTAAAAATTTCTATATTTGGATTTGTGTTGACTTTTAGATACACATGTTGTTGTGTCATCCTAATTTTGATAAATGCTTAACTTCAACAAAATCACTCGTCAATCCGAACATCTACTAATTCCATATCGACAATAGAAAACTATAGAAAATCATATGAATAATGGAACAAAAACTATACCTGAATAGCAGTGGTGATAGCTTTAGCTACAACACCAGGTTCAGCTTGCCAAGTTCCTAATCCAACGGAAGGAATTTTCGCACCAGTGTTCAACTGAAAAAATTTGATAGCGGTGGCCATTTTGATCTATGGTTCTTTGTTATTCGGTTAGCGTTTTGATGATATTTATAGACAAAAAAAAACAATGGATATGAATGCATGAATGAGAAGAGCGTGAAAAGGGAAATGGGATCGAACGGTTAGGAATTGGGTGAATTGGATCTGAGATTGATTTGGACGGTGAGATATTGGTCTATTTGGGAAGTGAAAGTGAAAGGAAAATGATGATATATGCACATACGTCAGAGTTGTTGTTAATGCACGAGGAGAGTTGTCGTTATCCGCAAAGATCTTGTTGTGGTGTACTTTCACACTCTATGGAGATTAAAATCTATAAGCATTAATTATATATATACTCCTTTTGAAAAATTTTACTTTTCAAATGAATTGAATTTGTTGAAGAATGAATGAATTTAAAATATGTAAGTTGTATTAATATATTGATTATTCAATAAATATAAAAAATAACCTGTAAATATAATATTGTGGGGGTTTCTAAGTATAACCTGCAAATATTCGAACGGTCACAATACTCGCTCAAATAGATGCGGGAACATTAGTTGAGATCCACAGGTCTTTTATCTAAAATACTAGGACATCACATCTGATGTCCATGTTTGACTGTGATCAATGTACAATGTGAAACATATATCATCTCATAGGAGTAGAAGGTAATTAATATGCTAACCGGAGTAGAATTTGAGAGAAAGATTGAAACAATGTTGGAACAGGAGTAGACACCCTGAGAGTTTTATTATACACTAGTTTTGTTTTATTTCAAATGTAAGAGAAAGAATAGGGAAAGAGAGCGCACCATTACTTAAATGAATGTGTTTGAATTTTAATATGCGTTAATTGAATCTGAATTTTGAAATAAGAATATTCTTTAACTTTGATTTGGTTGTGGTTATGAGGTTCGAGTTATTGGAGTGTGTTGGGGTGCATTCAAATTTTGAAATCTATACATTTCTTACTTATATTTGATGTGTATTTTGGCACGTCCATATTTTAAAATTCAAAATTTGAAAGTATTTCAAAAATTCTTTCTTGATGGATGAGTAAAACATGGAATGTAGTTAGGGGTTGAGAATGACTTAGACGAGTTAGACTTTGACAAGTAATAACTTGACGCGTTAAAAAATTAAAACTTAAGTCTGACATGCAACCTATCATAGGTTTATTTTTAGGTTTAAGTTTGACGTTTTCAAAGACCTGATTGACTATTGATCTATTTAAAAACCTATTTTATTTGAACATTTTGTAAATAAGAAATTCAATTAACATTTAAATAGACTAACAAATTAAAATAAAAATAAAATAAAAATTCCAATAAATTTAAATATTTATTTACAAATGACTTATTTAAGTTTACATAATACCATAAATTTTGCGGTACTATTCATTAAACAAAATTTATGTCATTATTTATAAAGTTTTTTAAATTTGTTTTTATAAGTTTCTTAAAATAACTAAATTTTGTTTTTATATTTTAACTAAAAATACAAAATATAATATAATATTAATAATAAAGTTATTTATATTTATTCAAATAGGTCGGTCTAATAAATTTAAGTTATCTATAACTTAGTTTTTTTTTAATTAAATAAATTTATAAAAAATTTTAAACTTTTTTATTTAATTTTTTTTTTACTTAATGAATGGGTATGCTAAGCCGGAAAACCCTATTAATCGATCTTACATTTCCACGCATAACTGTAGTGAGCAATTCTAAAATATTATGAACAAATCATAAAAATTATTGTATATGGTATAAAAGTTTATTACTATCCACATATTTGGTATAAAAATTATACTCCACAATAGTTGAAAAATATATCAAATTAAGAATTTTTTAAATCATTAAAATGTGATGAAATAAAGTTTTTTTATAAAAAAAACTCAATTTATTTCATTAATAATAAGATCTTAGACATAAGTTGGTACATCATTAAAAATTTGGAAATTAATAAGAGATAGAGCCACCTGAGACAAAGCGTGAGCAATCCTTAGTGATTACAATCCTTAGTGATAGCGTTAAAATTCAAATTATTTAGATACTAAATGTTCAAACTATCCACTACACTTTTAGCATCCAACTCAAAATCCACATTGTCCAGGCCTAACTCATGAACCCGTTTAATATAATACAAGAGGCCTAAAGCTTCCCCCACATCAACATCAGTGCTAAGCGAAAAACCACTTTGTCCAGACAGCAACAAACACCCCATCATCATCTCTAATACAAGCATATATTCCTACTTTATTTTATTGTTTGAGAAGGATGCATCAATGTTGCATTTAAACCGTCAAGTTGAAGGTTCGTTCCACTTGAGCTTGGATTGTAAGACTCGACCTGATCTGTTGGGCATTTCTCTAACTTGACAATAAATGCGAAGCACAGTGACAACTTAACTCTAGGGAGTCTTCGATATGGTTCCAGATAAAATTATTCCTGCATTTCCAAATACTCCATAACATTGTTAAGAACATAGCTTGTTGATCTTTATTTGATCCATGTAAAAAGTAAAATATTAAAGTAGCAAAATCAACTTCATTATTCATCAACTACTGCAATCTAGGCCAAACACCCACTTTTCCCAACACTTAATGCTCTTCGAACACTAAAAAATAAATGCTTATAATTCTCCTCTTCTTCCCCATATACACCATAACTAATAGAGCAATCAACATCTTTATCTTTTAATCTCATTCTAGTTGGCATGCGATTCCTGCAAAGACGTCACACATAAATTTTTTATCCTTGGAGGGATCTTCAAATTCCACTTTCTTTCAATCCTAAGATGAGAGGTTTCAATGGCCTAATTAATGTAGAAACGATAACCACTATGCATGGAGAATCTACCATTATTTTCCAACTTCCAAAATAACTTATCCACCTAGGCCGCCTCAAATAACAGAGTATTGAGAACCTTAGATGCAACTCCCTCCCCTAAAAAAATAAATCAAGTTGGAATTTGATCTTGACGGTTGATCAGAACCTAAAGTAGGCCAGAGACTTTGTCTATGATGCTGGGTTTCAAAGATGAGGAGGGGTGTATCTACAAGGCATTCTGATACTAAAGGAAGAATCGGGAGAATATAAGGCAAGTACAAAGTGAGTATGTCTTAGGGTGATTAGAATGACTTAGAATACCTTACCCTCTTAAATGAAAGGGTTTTTATAATGCCATCAGCGCTTGACCATTGGTCCCTATTTTCGGGGCGAGATATTCGCTCCCAAAGAATAGGTAACTGCCAGAAACTAGCCGTTGGGACAGAAAGAGGTGCTCTGAACTAGCCGTTGCCGCAGGCACGGGCGTCGTGACCGTTTCTGGATGATACAACTGTGCGTGACGGGCAGAAATGTGACGAGAGGCAGCTGATCCTAGGGCTCAGTTGGCCAACCTTCCTTAGTAGAGGGGCAGAGGAGAGAATGCTTCCTTTTGCCCTTAACTGGCAGAGCTTAGGCTATTAGGTCATTCTGGGAGTAGAACTGGATTGAGACATACCTAGCCATTGGGCCAGTCCAGAATGGGAGCCCCCAAAGTTGTTGCTCTTGAGCATAGGACTGATGACTTAAGGCCAGCACGGGGTCCCGAGGAGGAGTAGGCGTGGTTAACGCCTGTTACTGAGACGAGGTCCTTTCGTAGTGCTCGAAGGAACCTATACCTAGGGAATCTAGAACGTTGTCTTGCGTGCCCGACGAGCGGGGAGCTCAACGGTTGACGGGACTTGAAGGAATGAGGTGCCACGTGTGTATTAAGTCATGCGCCGAATTTAATGTGTAATGATGGATATGTTAGGGTCGTGATAATGCCCCTACACCGTGTGTTCTCGTGCACGTGCCTCTGGTCTGTCTGTAAATAGAAGGAGGAAGCGTTCATTTTCACTTTTTGCTTTTCTCTCTTCTCTTGTTGCCTGTCAACAATTCCGTCATCCGCTGTCGTAACTCCACTGCACGAGCAACGACCAGACTTCACCGACCTACCTTTCTTCTCTTCGACCTTGTAAGTTTTCTTCACCCTTTCTATATTAAGTGTTTCAATCCTTGTTTTTCTTATATTGCATGTGGTTAGGATGAAATTGAGTAAAGTAGGGGTGGTTTCCGGCGAATGTTGATGGTTGGCGGTGGTTAGGCCATTTTCTACCGCCGTCGTTGGAGCGTTAGGAACTTAGGATTTTTGTTGATTCTGACACTGTTACGACAACGAGTGAGTTTGTCGTCGGTGGAGCTTATGCGTTTTCTAGTGTACTCGTGAGTTTCGGTGGATCTCCAACGGAATTCTAGGTAACACACTAGGGAGGATCTCTTCGTGTGGGTTTGAGGGATTTCCATGAGCGTCTCCTTGCACCATTGTTGCACCGTTTGAGTAAGGGCTTAGGTCGGGGACGTTGTCCTCGGGCCTTTGCCCGCCCTTTCAATTGACCAACGATGGAAGGGTGGATTTTACTATCATCGAATTCACTTTTATCCTCTGCTTTTCAGGTAAAGGAGATGTCTCGCGGTCCCGAGGATGAAATTATGAGGGAATTGTCCTAGGAGAGCTCTTCGGAGGATAGCAGTGCTGATGAAAATTTTGCTCCCCAGAATTTCGGTGAAATATCCGCTCCTAGTAGTTCCGGGGAAGAGTGGGTTGTTGCTGAGCCTCGGAAGCATGCCTCCCTCTTTTCTTATCACACTCAGGATGCCTTCACGGCGGTGGGGGTCGAGGGAGACTGGAGGGTCCACTTCCTTGGGGAGAATGACCGAATATACTCGGTCTACGAGGAGAGATTCCCCATGTACGAGTTTATCTTCAAGGAGATCGGGTTGAGGCTGCCTTTCACGGACTTTCAAGTGGCAGTTTTTGGACACGTAGATTTGGCGCCCTCCTAGCTGCACCCGGACTCGATCGCCTTTATTCGGGCATTTGAGATAAAATGTTAAATTTTGAAGGTTGGAGCCACTATCCCCTTCTTTTTCATCGTCTTCCATTTCCAACACCAGTTCGTTGGGAAGCAGTTCAGATGGGTCTCCCTGG